AGCCGCCGCTCAACCTACATCCACGTGGGCGGCCTTGTACGCAAGAGGTTTTGAACAGGGGGAGTTGTAAGGAAGAGGATTAAAAATGAATCAAGGTTTTCTTTTTTCTTTTTTCTTTTTTCTTTTTTTCCCCCCCAGAGGAGAGGAGGGCCGCGCCGCACTCTGCTGCAGTGCAATACAGAGGCAACGCTGAAGGGGTCGAGCAAGCAAGCTTACCCGTACGACCACCCCGTAGCCCAGAAAAATTAATTTAATATCGTGTGGTCCGATGGACCACGGATCAGATATTAAACTGATCAGAACAGATACTACACTTGATCTTAGCCAAAAGGCCGAGAAAGGTATTGAATCAAGGTTTTCTTCTTTTCCTTGTTTTCTTTCGTTTTTCGCTTTGGCGCTCTGATATCAGGTGACAACATATATATATCGTCACATAGATATCAGAGCGCAAAGCGAAAAAAACAAACAAAGGAAACAAAAGAATATCAATTCATTTTTCATCTTCTTCCTAACAACTCCCCCTGTTCAGAACCTCTTGCGTACAAGGCCGCCCACGTGGATGTAGGTTGAGCGGCCGCTGCCCCCACCCCGGTGTGTCATATCGACCCACTTGCACACAGCCAGAAGGCAAAGAGGCAAAGAAAAGAGGAAGGAAACAGCCCAAACAAAACAGAACAGGGGGCTGCAAAGCAAATCCTAAATGACAAGTCCCACATGCAAACACCGCCCCCGGCAACTACAGGCCAAACGACAGGGCAAGACCAGCCAGGATGTCATACCCAAAAAAAGGACCCGGATGACCAGTCCCACATGAAAGCACCGCTACCAGGATCAACCAGGCAACATCCCAAATAGCCGAACAACGGGACAAAACCAACCGGGACGCAGACAAGGCAAAAAAAAGCTCCGATCCACAGTGTGACAACCAAAAAAAAGGAAGAGAAGACAATCCCGGATGACGATTCCCACATACAAGCACCACTTCGTGATTGAAGGAGGGCTCCACCCAATGACATAATTGCAGAACAGCAAGCAAAATACTGAAAATCTTCTATCCAGTGGGCCTATGGCCGATCCCACCCTCTATTGGGGTTGGCCATACCCCCAACGGATTGAAAAGATTTTAGCGGGAAGCTTCCTTTCCTTTGCACGGGCAAGCCCAGTGTTAAGGAGAGGAGAAGGGGAACAAAGATCTCCTTACGTTTTTGAGACTCTGAAGAGAGAGAGAGAGAGGGGGAGAAAAATGGAACATCTTGAGGAGAGGGGGGGAAGGGGGGGGAGGGAAAAAAAAAACAGAACGACAGGAAAAAACACCTTGGGGACTCTGAAGAGAGAGAGAGAGAGAAAAGGGGAGAAAGATGCAGCATCCATGAACCACCTTTCCCGGGAACAGAATGCACCCGAGAGCTGAGTAATCTGGACCGCAAAAAAAAAAAAAGACGAAGAGACAAAGAAAGAAAGAGAGAAGAGACAACGACAGAAAAAAAATACCTTGGGGACTCTGAAGAGAGCGACGGAGAGAGGGAGAAAGATGGAGCATCCATGAACCACTTTTCCCGGGAATAAAAGAAGGAAAAAAAGGAGGAAAAAAAAAGTAGCGAGAAAAAAGGAAAACAAACAAGGGAAAAAAAAAGGGAAAAAAAAGAAGGGAAAAACAAGAATGAAAGAGAGAAAACACCGGAAGACAGGGAAGAACATCTTGGGGACTGGAGAGAGCGATAGACGGAGGGAGAGAAAGATGGAGCATCCATGAACCACCTTTCCCGGGAATAGGATTCACCGAAGAGCTGAGCAATGTGGACCGCAAAAAGCAAAAGAAGGCGAAAAGAACAAAAAGAACGAAAGAGAGAGAGAGAGAGAGAGAGAGAGAGAGAGAGAGAGAGAGAGAGAGAGAGAGAGAGAGAGAAAGAAAAAGACTGGACGAGGCAAAATCGACGACGAAAAATTGAAAAAAAAAAAAAACAGGGCTGCTAAGGATTATGACGACATACACGCGATCGGTCCCTGGCACATAATAGGAGAGAGAGAGAAAGGCAAGGCAGAGGAAAGAGAGAGAGAGAGAGAGAGAGAGAGAGAGAGAGAGAGAGAGAGAGAGAGAGAGAGAGAGAGAGAGAGAGAGGCAAGGGAGACGAAAGAGAAGGACCACAATTACTTCGTTTTCAACAAATTAAGACACGTTCACCTTCAGGAAACAGAGAGGCCAGGAGGACCAGAGAAAGGGGAGCGGCCGAAACGGAAGAAGGTAAGAGAGGAAGAGGATAAGTGGAAGAAAGAGGAGGGAGAGGAGCATAGGAGAGGAGTGAAGAGGAGGAAGAGGAGAAGGAAGAGGAGAACCATGCCTGATAAGGATAGAGCAGACAGGGACAAAGCGACAGCAAATGATGGCGAGAGCAGAGAGGCGAAAACGAAGAGAGGGACAGAGGGAGAGAGAAAAGAAGAGGAAGAAAGAGAGAGAGGGAGAGAGAGTAAGATTTTTGTGCCGCTGTATGGGAGAGATTTTGTGAACGATAGGGAGTGAGGGAAAGAAAAACAAGAGAGAGAGAGAGAGAGAGAGAGAGAGAGAGAGAGAGAGAGAGAGAGAGAGAGTGGTTATAGCGGCACACCTGATGAATTAGATACTGTAAAATCAACGATCGGCAATCTGCTCAGAGTGGGCGGGGATTCAGCGAAGCGAGTCTCTGAACCAGAACGAAAAGAAAGAATTAATGGAGATAGAAAAAGGAGCAGGGGCAGGTCACCCTCTATCAAGAAAGAGAGAGAGAAAAAGAGAGCGCGGAAGAGAGAATTAGGCGGCACACTTGCTGACTCAGATCAAATCGCCAAACGGTCATCCGTTCAGATGCAGGCGAGGGTTCAGCAGAACTAGGACTACCCACTGGTATTGGGGAGGGGAAAGGAGAGAGGAGGTGAAGAGAAGAACGAAGAAGAGGGAGATGGAAAACAGAGACCAGGTGTCGCACATCTACACCGTTCGTTGATCAATAAAGTTATGACGCGAAGCTGAATCCAAAACGTTAAATAGAGAATGAGGATCCAACGAAGACTGGATTGGCACTAGGATGTGCAAAGCATACGCGCTTAATCGGTGCGCAGCCCGGTATAAGGAGGGCTCGAATGCAAAAATAGGAAAGGCAGAGAGCGAGAGAGAGGACCAGAGGAAGAGAGGAAGAGAGATCAAAACACAGAGGGGGGGAAAACGCGTGCAAAGCATACGCGCTTAATCGGTGCGCAGCCGGGTATGAGGAGGGCTCGAATGGAAAAAAGGGAAAGGCAGAGAGCGAGAGAGAGGACCAGAGGAAGAGAGGAAGAGAGATCAAAACCCAGAGAGGGGGAAAACGCGAAAACAGAAAGACAGGGAGATGGATGAGGGAGGAAGGACGAGGTAGAAAAGGGGAGAGGAAGAGAGGAAGAGAGGAAGAGAGGAAGAGAGACGAACCAGAGAGATATAGAACAGAGAAAATAGAACGTGAGAGGGAGAAGGGAGGAGGGAGAAGGGAGGAGGGAGAAGGGAGGAGGGAAAAGGGAAACGGAGGAGGAAGAGGGTGAACGAGGATAGAGAAGAAAGGAAGAAGAGAGACTTACAGGGTGTGTATCCAATCCTCAGGCACATCGCTCGTCGCGAGAACGATGACATCAGCACGCGGACGTGTCTTAAGCAAGCTCCTTAACATGACCCGCATTGCCGTATAATACTCCCAATCTCGCGGTGTCCCAACGTAGAGCATCGTAGCATAGGCATTCCTCACCTCCCTGCCTGTCTCCAAATGGCTTTGGTCGCTCCTGTTGACCTGACCGAAGAAGCCTAGCTCCCCATTCCCCCCTTCTCTTCCGCTCCCTCCTCCTCCTCCTCCTCCATTCCCATCATCAAAAGATCCCAAGCGTTCACTGGATGGTTGATTGAGTCCATCAAGCCATCGATCTACCAATTGCATGACCTCGATTTTGAAGTTCTCCGCCCCGGTAGGTGTGCCGCTGTACTCCCCAACTATACATTGCGTCCCAGCTAGCAAAAGCAGGAATACCATCAAGCGGAAAGCAGCCATTGATCGAACTGCAATGGGCCACCCTCCTCTCCCACTCTCCTCCTCCTCCCGCTATCCTTCTCCTCCCTCTCCTCCTCCTCCTCCTCCTCCTCCTCCCACTTTCCTCTTCCTCCTCCTACTACTCTCCTCTTATACTCCCACGTACAATCGACAGCAATTACCACGACTAGCAGACACTCGACCTCTTGCCTTCTTCAATGCAAGAAGGAGACGGCAGAAGGCGTCAAATACATGCAAGTATACCCTTGGTGCTCAAAATGTTGAAAATAATCAAGGTCGTATGCCCCAAATACATGTAAGCGTACCCTTGGTACTCCAAATGTCCAAAATAATCAAGGTTGTGTGCCCCGTTGCTTACTTAAATACACTCATCTTGCTCGAATCAGGGCCTCAAACTATCACACTCCACGCACCCAGGTAGCTGAAATCGCGCCTGGCTTTGCGGCTTACTTCCACCAGCCCCATTTGCCCAAATGCACTCAACTTGCTCAAGTTACCCGAGCTTTCTATACCTCTCTCTCTCGCTCGCTCTCGCTCTCTCTCTCTCTCTCTCTCTCTCTCTCTCTCTCTCTCTCTCTCTCTCTCTCTCTCTCTCTCTCTCCTCAAACTGCGGATTCTCCTATCGGAAACTACATGAAATTTCGAGCCGTTGAAGAACAACGTTTAGTACTCAAAAACCCACTCGACTCGATTTGCTGAAAATTACTTACTTAGCCTATCAGCTGAAATTACTTAACCTATCAAAACCTAAAGCACTCAACTTACACGAGAGTTGCACTCAACATAGGACAATCCCCACAACCCCCTTAACAGCTCCAGATACACAGCAGGGTATTGCCGTGCAAATGAGATGAGAAACAGTAATAAATTTTACGATGGAAGTGTGTCGTAGCTTACAGGATACAACTCAAGCCACAGTATTCCAGACACTCAAACTTGCTAAACCTCGTTCAATCGAACGCAAACTCGAAGTAGCGGACTCAAAACTCACTCAAAAAAACACAGAACTGAAGTCAAAGTAGAGGAGATTCGATCACGTGACCTCCCTCCGCGCAATCATCAACTCAAAACTAGCCTTGCCGTGGTCGAAAGAAGGACGAACCAAACAAAATCCAATATCAAGAGAAACTCGCGCGCACAAATCACAATTGCTCAATCCGCAGAGCTCAGCAGCTCGACGTAAAAAAGCGAAATTAACCAAATCGACGAAGCCAAAACAATTTTCAGGAAGGGGGGACAGAAGAAAAAAGTTCAAAAACTTAATAATTCCGGAGAAGGAAATTTGATTTCTTCCACGATGGGGAAACTCAGTATATAGCTGACAAACTCAATAACTCGATCGGATCGACGAATTTAGTCAAAACACTCAATCGAAGACATAGATTACTTATCGAATAGGGGACTGCTTACTCAATAATTAGAGGAATCGGACACTCAATGAGACAACTCAATCCCCGCAATTCAATCTCTAAACCCTTTAAATACTACGTAAAAACTCAAGCACAAGAAGATTAAATGTGTACTTGGTCGTCGATCTCCTTTTTGTTTTTTCCTTTCCTCCTTCCGGTTTCTTTTTTACTTCACTGACGATCTGGAAATTGATAGAAGACGAGCAATGGCCAATTGCTCTTTACACCCAATCAGTACAGTGTATATTGCAAAGAAGTTGCAAAGAAGTTGCAAAGAAGTTTCAAATAAGTTGCAAAGAAGTTGCGAAGAAGTTGCAAAGAAGTAAACCAGCGTGTGTACACAAGCTCGTCGGAAACGCGCACGCATCTGGAAATAGATCGAGAGTCGAGACTTTTACAAAATGACAATACAATGTATTTGATCGCAAGATCAAAAACGTCCAAGATCATGGAAGTAAGTAGTAATTAATAAAACACAGATAGCGGACTACAAACGACCAAACAACTCGATACACACACACAGAATCCAAAACCTCAAGCAACCACCGTACACAATCGAACACTCTTCTTAAACTAATCAATCCCTCGCTTTAGAAATCACCGACGATTTTGTCGATCAATCAACGGCTGAAAAGAGAGCTCCCGACTCGAACAAAGAGAACTGAATAGACGATCAGGAAGCTCTCTCAAGTTACTCTCTTTACTCGATCGATCAGGGAGCATCAATCAATCTCTTCCTTGATTGCAAATCATAACAGACTTTTCGACTTCAAAACCTGAGCCATAATCATATCATCACAGACACTCAAATCTTTCAAATTCAATTAACAGCCGGTAATATCCGATCAAAGGACACAAACGCTTGACTAAACAACTCCAAAAGCACTTGAACTGAATTTCTTCCTTCCTCTGCTGGGAACTCAATCACTACTTGTGAATTTTGAAACTCTTATCACTACTAAATAATGATAATACCCAACCCAGAAGAAGACGAAGGTACCCAGAAGCACTACATTTAATAAGTAAAATACCCACCGATCAAGACTCGATGCCTTCGCAAAGGATGACCACTAAACTTAACGGCGAGCCATCAAATGCCAAGAAGGTGCCCGCCTCCACACGCCACACGTGCTTCCGTCTATACACAGCTCCACGGCTAAGTACTAACGAGAAAACCATAAAGAGAGAGAGAGAGAGAGAGAGAGAGAGAGAGAGAGAGAGAGAGAGAGAGAGAGAGAGAGAGAGAGAGAGAGAGAG